CCCCCCCCCCCCCCCCCCCCGTAAATATTGTTGAATTAAATTGAATCAAATAAAGTTGTTTACATTGTTACTATTAAGCTCAGGAGTATTTTTATAAACATGTGGTTATGCAAGTGTGCAAAGATAGGAAGTCAGTTTAGCCCGTGCTCTAGTGTATTATAAATCAAGCTCTGGTACCAAATGAATAAGGAATAGGAATTTCTGAACTTGTTATATATAGGTAACCTATTGTTTCAATTACATTTTGTGTTTTTAGCTTTGGTTTGTGAGACTGGCACTACTGGTGAAGTTGGGACTTTTCCAGAATGCTGAAATGGAATTTGAACCCTTTGGAAATCTAGATCAGCCCGATCTTTATTATGAATACTACCCTCACGTATATCCTGGGCGTAGGGGTAAGGCAGTGGTATTTAATATTTGTTCATTTGCATGTATCGTGCTCTGCTTTTCTTTGATTTATACATAATTAAGTATCCCCAGTTTTTCTTATTACCCAGTCCTGAAAAATTAAATAAATAGCCTAGCAACAAGCCTTGACTTACAGAATGAGCTCACCCAGTTTCATAAATACACCGACCTAGAAGTAGTCACCTGTGCGTTCATTGTTCACATAACAGCTACTTGCCGAGCACCTGTCAAAGCAGTGTGATTTGGGGCAGGGACTGGGTGGTGGACTGCTTCATAGTAAAAAATAATTTTATATCAAGACCTAGTACATATACATGCATGTAAATGAAACAGAAGCATTCATGAAACAACACTCATCCTTACCACATGGAGCACAGTAAGATATTTTCTATTAGTCTCTATTCTTCTTAATTTATTTTAAAAATCTGGTTACAACCCACCAGTGAGTCGCAGTCATGACCATTGTTTGGCAAACACTGGACTACGGGCATAGGGTAGTTCCAGCAGAGTGGCAAGAAGGAAGAATTGAGGAAGGAAAAGGGCAGGTTACGGGAGCCTCTGCAGCACTAGTAACCTTGGCATAGAGACCCTTACATGTTTGGAACCCTTCCTTGTTCATGCTGGAAGGAAGACAGTCTTAGAAGGCTGTCTCTTGAGAGGCAGTGTCAGCACATTTGTGAAAGCCTGCGCTTTGCAGCCAGACTTCTCCAGTCTCAGCCTGGCTTCTCCACTATGCCCGCATGTCCTGGGCAAGTTATTTAATGTCCCTGTGTCCCAGTATTCTTGTCAGCAACACAGGGATTGTAGTCCTACTTACTTCCTAGGGTGTCATAAGATTAAAGGATGTCATATATGTAAGCTTCTTAGAACAGTGGCTGGCACGTAGTGATCACGGCATTTGCTATTTCTCTTTTTCTTTACTCAGTTCATTAGTAATGCATGTTAGATTCTAATACTGTCATTCGTGTGTAAGATCATCTGGGCGGCATTTGTTGGATGCAGCCATGAAGCTACAAAGAGCGGCCCTGGTTGTCAGGAAACATAGAGCCTAATTGAAGGTAGAAAATACAAAATAGTAACAGTACAAGAGAATACAAAGACCTGATTAATAATAAAGATGATAATTGCTGAAGAAGTTAGCCCTGGTTGTCAGGAAACATAGAGCCTAATTGAAGGTAGAAAATACAAAATAATAACAGTACAAGAGAATACAAAGACCTGATTAATAATAAAGATGATAATTGCTGAAGAAGTTTCAAAAAAATTAAATCAACAACTTATTTAGCTTGGTTGATGTTAGAAAGTAAATTGATTAGCTAAGAAGGCTAGAAGTAAAAACAAATTTTTCAATTTCTATTTGTGTTATTTTTTCCTTAAAATTCAGATCCTGTTTCTTTGAATGGGATATAGGAAAGGACAGAGTTAGCTTTTTAAATTGTCAGTGCTTTATTCTTCATCATCTTTATCTTTCATGGAATAGGGTTGGTAGGAATCAGTCTGTCTTACCTTAAGTGATCCCGGAACTGAAGGACAATTTTTATCATTTTTAGTATGGGGTGCTTTTCGACCTTTAGCCTCACTAATATTAAAATTGTTTTTTCCTTCTGACTAAGGGAATTTACACCTGAAGAATAGAAAAAATGGAAAAGATGAGTTTTAATACCTAAAAGAAGGCATAAAATAAAGAGGTTCTCTTGACTGGGTTGCCTTGATTGGGTAGGCAGACTTGCAACACCACTGTTATCCATGGCTGGAGGGCTCCAGGCCTTCATTTGTGAAACTTCTTACCCTCTCACTTACCTGTCGAGTCCCACTCGCTTTCCACATGCCAGGGGATGTGGGGTCCCAGGGGCTTTATCAAGACCCCCTCGCTGGCCTTACCTGCTGACCAGGACACATGCTCCCGAGGGGTCTGGCTGGTTGCTGTTATGAGCTCAACTCCTTCCTCGGGATCTTTCTCCTCCCGTACTGCAGTCAGGAAGCTGCTCCACCAGTCGTGAGCACCATCACTGAGGAGGAGGTTTACACGCATCCTTTCTCTCATCCACATCCCTCCCTCATGTGGACTGCACAGTGGGGGGTTCCCACATCCTCCCCAGCGTTTGGAGAGAGGCAGCCATCCTGGTTATTCAGGGGATACATCTCTGGCTGGTAAATTAACTGGTTTCCTTGATTCTGTCATGTTCCTTTCTGTCTACGCTTTCTAGCCATTTCAAGGTCATCCTTTCCATGTAAGGCAGTGAGCAAACGTCCAGCCCAACAAGAGGAGTGAGTCTTTGTCTCTTCTTAATAGTTCTGATGAAAAGGAGTTAGGTGGAAAGACCAAAGACATCATGGGGAAATGGGGATGTTTCTGTTTAATTAGTTATGCCTGGTAGCTTTGGTAGTCAAGAGATGACTGTTCCCATATTTTGTAGAAGGAGTAGCCATGTTCCCTTCAGCATGTCTCTTCCCACTCTGCCTGGCTCCGCTGCCCTGCTCCTTCCTACCTGTCACCCCCACGGTGGAGGCTGGCCCCATGTCCATTGGGCTCTGCCTAGACATGGAGATTGGCAGCTGATTTTGATAGGGTTTTGTCTGCTGCTAACAAAAAACTCAGAACTTTGAGCACACAGGCCCATCTCTTAATGGCTCTAAACTACCAGGTACCCTAAAGCGCACAACTGCATGAAATGCTCTGGATTCTTTTCCTGTTGAGGTCCATGTGAACTGTAGATTCCAAATGACTATCCATACGACAGCTGCTTCTGAATTTATGACAGGTGTTTAAGAAGGAATAAGACTAAAAGGCAGATGTTTCCTGTGGTGGCCAAATAAAAACCTCCCACTCCTCACTGGTTTCTTCCCTGTACCATCCTGAATGCCTCGCATCCCCTGGTGTGTCCCATACTGTAATGTGCTGAGGACCCCACTGCACTGTTCACTCACCTTGAGGGAGAGAAGTTGGATGGAGATGACCCTGAGCATCCTTTGAGATAAAGAGTAAAATACTTGGGTCCAGGTACAGAACTACCTGTTGTCCTTCCTCTCCACTTTGGGGACTTTTTTCTCTAAGGATATGCAGAGTAGAAAGCATGTTTCTGATTCTGCCTGCAACTAAATTGCATTGGGATATGGATAAAGAGAAGATAGTAGCCATGCATCATTAAGCAGATAATTTAAATTAGGAAGTAAACATAAATCATATGTATATTTTAGCTAAAGTGTGCTAACATTCATCCACAATAAAATGCTGAATGTTATTAATTTTTCTTCTCATTTTGTGGTATAACAAGCATAAATGTAAAGTTTTGATTCATCTAGTTTATTTTAGCTTGCAATATATAAGCAAAGCGAGTCATTAAAATGTTTTTTAAAAAGGAAGCTATAACTGTACAAATAACTTTTATGAATGAGCTTTAATATATTTCATTTAAATATAGAGCATAATTTCTACCCATTCAGAATATTTATAATAAGACATGTAAAGAATCTTATGTAAAAATCATAGTTTTTTAAAGTTTTCATCCAAGAAAGGAACAGTATTGTGGTTGATACCTCTCTCAGACATTTCTAGCAACTCCAGTCAGTCACTGTCAGCTGCCTTCTGAGGGCAGTCAGATTTGTGTCCTGACACTCAATGCTGTCTTCTAGTCTGCTGTTCACAGGAAGAGCAGTGAGGACAGAGCAGGGACACATCCGTCTCGACACTGTGTAGCTGAGGTCTGAGACCCCGACTCTGACCCGGGTGCTCCTCCCTTTACTCTTTTCTCTGTCCCCCTTTTCCTGTCCTTTCTCCTGCTCCTCTTGTTGCTCTTTCCCTCTCGTACCCTGGATCCATCCCTGGGATGCAAGGCCCAGAGCACAAGTTAGAAGTTGTTTGCATCCGTGTGTCCTCAGGCCTCGTGCCACAGAGGGGAGGGAATCATTCAGAGCCCAGATTCAGTGTTAGAAACCAGGCAGGAGGGGTTGTGAGCAGACTGTCCACATCTTCTCACTAACTGGAAGTTCCCTGCATCCCTCCAGGACACGCCTAAGGCCTGTGCAGCTTTAGTCACCTAAGACTTGACATGTTAAACTTGGCAGCTGGTTTCTTTGTCGTTGTCATGCGGCTTCACGAAATCCAGACAATCTATGTTGGTCATGCTGGTCAAAGATGTCAAAACAAGAATAAAAATAGTTTGGAAAAAACTTGCCCTTAGCCTCTGTCTTATCTATAAAAACTGAACTTCAGTTGCATAGTGATACCGAATATCAGTTGTTTCCGGGAACAGAGACATATCTCATGGCTGTCTTTCCCATTTGTATTTCTCTGATTTTCAAATAGAAGTCCCCTATCTGTGAGTTCTACTTACAGTTCAAGTAGCATACTCTTTAAACTAACTACACAGGAGGTCACCGTTGTGTCCAGATTGAATGATTTGTGCAGATTCAGATACTTGATTTTTCTATGTCATTCACATCTATTTACTGTTTACTTTTATTTTACTTTTATTGCTATTTTAATGGCTTTTTTAAAAAGCTGTTTACTTTATTTCAGTCCACCTCTTCTGCCACTTTTGAGAAATGCTGTTTTAGGATACTGCCCTGGTTGAATCTACTCTTTGCTCAACAAAAAATGAAATTTTTTATGAAACACTCAGACAATTAACAAATATTAACACTTTTCATATTTGCTTCACACTATTTTTGTAATAAATGAAAGTCTCCATTACTGATGGAGAAGCCTGTGAATCTCCTCCCCATCCATCCCTTCCCACAAGCAGTCACAATCATGAATTTTTGAGTATCTTTCCAAGTCATCTTTTATATCTTCACTTTGTCCACACTGCTGTGGTTTGAATGTCCCCCAGCTCATGCTGGAACTCAACCCCTCAATGTGGTGGTGGAAGGTGGGTCCTTGAAGAAGTGATTGGATCATGAGGACTACATCCTCATGAATGGATTGATTCATTCATGGAGTAATGGGTTGATGGGTTAATGGGTTGTCATGGCTGTGGACTGATGG